ATTTACAATAGCCAAGACATGAAACAACCTAAGCATCCATTGACAGGTGAATAAAGATGGCATGGTATGTATATGTATATGGACAACAGTATGGTGATTGCCAGAGGGAAGGGGGAGGTGGAGGAGGTAGGAGAGGGTAAAGGGGGAATAAATGGAGATGGAAGGAGACTTGACTTGGGTTGGTGAACACACAATACCATATACAGATGATGTATTACTGTCTACCTGAAACTAACTAGTATATAATTTTATTAACCAACATCACCCTAATAAATTCAATTAAATGTTTTTTTAAAATATATGTACCCCTAAAAATGATATGTACCCGTATGTTCAGTACAGAACTATTTACAATAGCCAAGACATGAAACAACCTAAGCATCCATTGACAGGTGAATAAAGATGGCATGCTATGTATATGTATATGTATACAGGGTGGGGTAAAAGTAAGTTTACAGTTGTGAGTACACAAAACACAGTTTATTCTTATATTATTATTTATTAATTATATTTTTCCATATGAACAACTGTAAACCTACTTCTGCTCCACCCTATAAGCATGTGTGCATATACAATTGCATTGTCTATGCGCGTGTGCACACACACATACACACAATGAAATGCTATTCAGACATAAACAAAGATAAAATATTGTGTTTGATGGCAACACGGATAGATCTTGAGAGTACTACGCTAAGTAAAATAAGTCAGATCAAAAAGAACAAAAAGTATTATTGCACTCATGTGGAATATAAAACAAAACGGAACTAGCAAAACAAACTCATAGATACAGTAACAGAATGGTGATCACCAGCGGAAGAAGAGAGTGGGGAGGGCAACTTTGGTAAAGGGAGCCAAATATGTGGTGACAGAAGGAAACTAGACCCTGGGCGCTGAGCACACAACAGGATGGACAGATATCAAATGGTAATGTTGTACAACTGAAAGTTAAATCATGTTATTAGCCAATGTTACCCCAATAAATTAAATCTTTAAAAAATCTAATTTGAGCCCAGCCAAAGTGGCTCAGTGGTTGAGCATCAACCTATGAACCAGAAGGTCATGGTTCAATTCCCAGTCAGGGCACATGTCCAGGTTGCAGGCTCCATCCCCAATAAAGGACCTGCAGGAGGCAGCCAATCAACAATTCTCTCTCATCATTGATGTTTCTCTCTCTCTCTCCCTCTCCCTTCTTCTCTGAAATCAATACAAATACATATTTTTAAAAATCTAACTTGAGACCAGAGAACTAAAAACGTCATGTTTGGGTGGATGTTTGCTGTCGCGATAACGATGAAATCTAAAATCCACGGACTCGTGTAGCATCACTTCTCCATCAGAGGTGTCCGAGGATGGTGGTTCCCTCAAACCCAAGCCCACATTCTAAGACATCCATGGAGACAGTGAAGGCATGCTTTCCAAAGTGTGTAGCCCTTTAATGTATTTGTTCTTCTAAGCGTTACCAGGTGGGGTGGGAATTTCAGGGATGGGGGATTGAGGTCTTGGGCACAAACAGCAGGTCCCCACTGACTCACATTCCACAGTGACTTTGCTAGAACGCTGTGGAGGAACAGCTAGGAACTCACAGCACCTGCCGCCCTAATGGCCAGTATGCAGGACTGGATGTGCCCGAAGGAGATGATGCCAGAGTCCTCCCTGTCAGACGATCACACCTTTCAGCATCAGCTCATCTCTGTTCCAAGGTGTACTGCAAATGGTCAGCTGGGGGTTCCTCTCTTCCACAGCCTTCAGCAGATGCTGCGTTTCCACCTCAAATGCATCTTTGTCCAGCCTGGGGAGATAGACATAATTGCCCTCTCTGCACCCCAATGCCACCCTCCCCTAGACACGACTGGGGGACTTGCATGGAAGGTGAGAAGTGAAGCCAGACTCATGGATACATAGAAGAGACTGACAGCTGTCAGAGGGAAGTGGGTTGGGGGCTGAGTGAAGGGTGAAGGGATTAGCAAAGAAGAAAAAAAAAAGAAGAGAAAGACTCATGGGCACAGACAACAGTGTGGTCATTGCCAGAGGGAAAGGGGTTGGGGAGGTTGATGAGGGTAAAGGGGGGATAAATGGTGATGGAAGGAGACTTGACTTGGGGTGGTAAACACACAATCTACGCTAATAAAAGAGAAAAATGGTAATTGGCGTACAACGCTACCTTTTCATTGGCTAATCGGGGCTATATGCAAATTAACTGCCAACTAAGATTGGCAGTTAAGTTACAGTTTCTTTATATCCTTGCCAATACTTGTTATTTTCTGCTTATTTGGGAGGGAAGGAGGATTCAGTTGTAGCCATCCTAGTAAATATGTGGAATAGTAGTAAATTTTAAATCAAATTTTAATAGAGAAAATTATGATGGAATGCACAATCTCATTTAGAGAGTAGGGGCCTGGTGCATGGATTTGTGCATGGTGGGATCCCTCGGCCTGGCCTGCAGGGATCGGGCTGAAACTAGCAGTCCGACATCCCCCAAGGGGTCCCAGATTGCAAGAGGGCACAGGCCAGGCCGAGGGACCCCACCAGTGCACAAATCCATGCATTGAGCCTCTAGTACAATATGAAAATGAAGTAATGTAGAATTATATGCCTGACACCTGTATGATTTTATTAACCAATGCCACCGCCCAATAAATTAAGTATTTTTAAAGAGTAATTTTTTTAAAGAGAAAGTACACATCTTTCCTATAGAATAGCTATATGAACAGTAGTGAAGTGAACCATTTTGTTCATCCATCGGCCTACCATCTGGAAGGGAGTCAAGTATTTTCTCTACAGGTGTCCATTATGCCCACCCTAAAAGCAGATACAATGTTCAGAACAATATTACGTGCTACTCTTGATTCAGGAACAAACTTCTGAGTCAAGACCCTGCTCAGCTATCTATAGAACCCCTCCCAGCTCTGAGCTGGGATTGCATCTTTTGGGGAAGCATAAGTAGAAGATGGTGTGTCTAGCAAAAAAAGTGCTTCTCACCTGGGGCAATTTTGCCTCAGAGGGGATATCTGCGAATGTCTGGAGACATTTTTTTAAACTTCAGGGAATGAATGGGATAGCCAGTCTTTTTTGAAATTAATTCATTTTTGTTGAAATATGATTGACATATAACATTGCATAAGTTTAAGGTGTGCAACGGGTTGGTTCAATATATCTGTAGTATATTGCAATATGATAATCTCCATCACATCATATAATAATAATTTTGTGAGAACAAATAATATCTAGTCTCTTGCCCTAGCTGGTTTGGCTCAGTGGATAGAGCATCATCCTGTGGACTGAAGAGTCCAAGGTTCTATTCTGGTCAGTGCACATGCTCGGGATGTGGGCTCGATCCCCAGTGGGATGCATGTAGGAGACAGCTGATCAATGATTCTCCCTCATCATGGATGTTTCTATCTCTCTCTCCATCTCCCTTCCTCTCTGAAAGCAATAACAATAAATATATTTTAAAATGGGAACTTCAAAGTTGTTAAGAGACTAGATCTTTTTTTAATATATTTTTTATTGATTTCGGAGAGGAAGAGGGAGAAAGATATAGAAACATCAATGATGAGAGAGAATCATTGATTGGCTACCTCCTGCATGTGTTCCCCACCCTCACCCCCGCCCCACACTGGGGATCGAGCCCACAACCCAGGCACGTGCCCTGACCGGGAATCGAACCATGACCTCTAGGTTCATAGGTGGACACTCAACCACTGAGCCACGCCGGCCCCACTAAGTTTCCATTTTTTATCATCACAACTGGAGAGAGGTGCTATGGGCATGCGACGTGCAAGTAGACACCAGGGATGCTGTTCAACACTCTGCGAGGCAGCCAAGAGCTCTGCAGCCCCCGTGTCCGTTGTACGGAGGCTCAGCAGACCTGCCCCGGAGATGGATGTCACTCTGAGATCACTCACCACCAAGACAAGCGTCCACTCACCCGAGCAGTTGCAGTGCACAGTCCTGGTGGCCCAAGGCTTCACACAGCACCACCATCCCATCGTGGTCCAAGCTGTTCCATTCCAGGTTCAGGCCCCTCAGTGATTTGCAGACGGTGAGAGCCGAGGCCAGGTCCTCGCAGCAGGCAGTGGTGAGCTCACAGAGCTCCAGCCTGCCACAGAGAAGCACACCAGAGAAACCACCCGCTTTGGCTGGGCTGGAAGGCCCACTATCGTGAAATGCCAGTTCCACGCGTCTGAGCAGGAGACTTGATGGTCTAGACCAGCGGTTCTCAACTGGGGCCATTGTGTCCCCTGGGGGACATGTGGCAATGTCAGGAGACATTCGGCACACCTGAGGATGCTACTGGCAGCTGGTGGGTAGAAAGAAGCCAGGGACGCAGCCAAACATCCTAGAGTGCACAGGACAGTCCCCTCTCCCTGTCACAACAAAGAACGATCTAGTCCCAAATGTCAATACGTAGTGCCAAGATTGGGAATGGCTGGTTTCCCAGGACAGCGCTTTACTTAGATAGTTCCAGACCCACTTGTTTTTGAAACTGCTTCCCTTCAGTCCTGGGAATCCTCCAGCTATTTCTATTCTTGAAACAGGGAAGCCTTCCCACAAAGACCATCAGTACACACTCACCCAAGATTCTCCAGTTTACAGTTAGGATGCTTCAACGCCCCACATAACTGTTTGACACCAGCATCTTGTATTTTATTTTCCCCTAGTTTCAGAGTCTTCAGTTTTTCGTTGCTAATAAGAACAGTAGAGAGGTCCTCACAGCAAACAGGAGTGAGGTAACAACCCACCAACCTGAAGGGGGGGGAGGAATACACACATAAACAAGACACAATCATGAGGTCCAGGCTTGAATGCTTCAGCTTACTTTCACTTATTGCTATGAAGGATGAAATGCTCAAGCGTTTCTGAGATGATGATGATGACAGTGATGATGCAGGAGATGGTGATGATGATGATAGTGATGATGGTGGTGGTGGTGATGGTGGTGGTGGTGATGACGATGATAATAGTGATGATGATGGTGAAGATTATGGTGATGGTAGTAGTGATGATATGGTCATGGTGGTCATGGTGATTGTGATGATGGTGATGATAGTGATGGTGATTGTGATGATGATAATAATAGTGATGATGGTGGAGGTTGTGATGATGATGATGGTGATGCTGGAAGTGATATGGAGGTGATGATGGTGGTGGTGATGGTGATGAAATAGTGGTGATGATGCTGGAGATGATGATGGTGGGGAAGATTATGGTGATGGTGATAGTGATAATGGTCACGGTGGTCATGGTAATTGTGATGATAGTGATGGTGATTGAGGTAATGATGATAATGATAATGGTGATGATGGTAGTGATGGTGGTGGTGGTGATGATAATAGTGATGATGCTGGAGATGATGATGATGAAGGTTATGGTGATGGTGATAGTGATGGTTGTGGTGACTGTGGTGATGGTGATGATGGAGGTGGTGATTGTTGTGATGATGAAGATCCTACAACTTCTCAGTTCCATCTCCTTGGCCCAGCACTCTGGGCTCCTTGCAATTCTCCTGCTCTCATGGCCTCTCTGCCTGGGGCCTCTGCTCTTAGTGTTCTCATTGGTGGGAATGCTCTTGGCTCAAATTCTAGCAAGGCTACTCCTCACGCCCTTCAAAATTCTCCACAAATGGCACCTTTTGGTAAGGACTGCCCTGAATACTTTACATAGTATCATGTCCCAGTCCTCTCGCTGCATTTAAGCTCATGCTTCTCCACAGTACTCATCACCTGCTAACATACATGTGTCTATATACACGTGCACACATATACACACACATGTGCATAAGTCTGACATGTATACCTGCATGAGTGAGTGTCTATGGCATGCACATATAGGCACACATACATACACACTTATGTGTAACACATCTGATACATGCATATGTATTGTGTATTGCTGTGTGTACGCTTATCTGTGGTTCTCAAGCAAAGATGATTTTTGCTCATGCCCCTCCCCAGGGACATTGGGCAATTCCTGGAGACATTTTTGGTTGCCACACTAGGACACAGGGTGCTACCAACATCCCTGTTCGGTTAAAACATCCTACGAAGCACAGGACAGCACTCCCATGACAAAGAATGATCTGGGCCAGATGTCAACCATGCCGAGACTGAGAACCCACCATATATATACACAAATATACACTTACCGCCTCACACTCACGTGTGTGTATGTACACACACCTATGTGTGCATATGAAATTCCATAAAATCAACTTCTATAGAAACAGGGCTGATGGAGCGTTTCAGTTACCATGTTCCTCATCTACCCACAGGAGGAATGAATGCTCCCATGAGGTGTCTCCTACTGTTATCAATCATGCGCTGGTCACGGGCAAATCATCGGTAATGTTTCTGTATGTGCATCATTCCCACTCGGTGCCTCAATTCTTTCCGGTGGGCAATATACTTATCCTCATGGGGAGAGGGGTGGCGCCCTCACACGTTCACCCAACGAGTGTAGGGCACAGAGGGCCCCGAGACCCAACTACAGAGGAGCATGTCCCAAAATTCCAGGCGCCCTTTAATTAAGACACACACGCATCAACACACCACTGGCATTCCTAGAAGTACCAAGTGGGGTCAACACTTAGCCTCGTTTTTTTTCCCAGCAGACCCCATGCTTTCCCTCCTTGCTGTGTCCTTTGCAGGACAGGACTCCAGCATCAAAAACCGCCTGACATTTCAGTCAATTGTAGCCAGACCTACCACAGCTGCTGTAAGTTGCAGCTTGGCTGCCTCAATGCTTCACAGAGAAGCTTCACTCCACTGTCTTCCAGGAAATTGGACCCCAGGTCAAGAAGGGACAGAGTGGTGCTCCGCACGAGGGCCTGGGCGATGTAGTCACAGGCGTCAGAGGTGAGGCAGCAGTATGTCAGTCTGCAGAGAGACACGCACACACACACGCACTGTCAGCCTGCTTACGCTGCATGCGGTAACAGTTTCCTGAAGGCACATGCAAGATCTTTACCATTCCTCATACCCAGCGCTCACTTGAGTAACCATAGAGGATTAAAATGTGTAGCAGTTGCCCTGGCTGGTGTTCTCCATTGGTTGGAGCATTGTCCCATACACCAAAAGGTCGCAGGTTCAATTCTTGGTCAGGGCACATATAAGAGTCAACCAACCAGTGAATGCATCAGCAAGTGGGACAACAAACAGATCTCTCTCTCTCTCTCTCTCTCTCTTATCAATAAATTAATTAAATAGCTCTATCCACCGAGCCACACCAGCTAGGGCCCTGGAATTTATTTTACTGTTAAATTTCTTTCAGTCTAAAAAATCATCTCAACCCTGGCCAGTTTGGCTCAGTGAATAGAACATCAACCTGTGGACTAAAGGGTCCTGGGTTCAATTCCGGTCAAGGGCACGTACTTGGGTTGCAGGCTTGATCCCCGGACCTTGTCGGGAGGCAACTAATCGATGTGTCTCTCTTACATTAATGTTTCTATCTCTCACTTCTCTTCTACTCTGTAATTATCAGTCAATAAAATTAATTTTAAATAAATAAATAAGTCATATCAGTAACAGTATTCCAGTCCTCCTCTATTTTAAATGCCACTGTGTGTGTGCACAACACATATGTCTATACACACCTTCACACCTGAATGTGCGCACACACACACACAAATAAAAGTTGGGTGTATTTTTTACCCTCACCTGAGGATATGTTTATTGATTTTGGGGTGGGGGAAGAGGAGAGAGAAAGAGAGAGGCATCAATGTGAAAGAGAAACATCCATCGGTTGCTTCCGGTATGTGCAATGAATGAGTGAGGATGGAAACACAGCCTGGGTACGTGCCCTGACCGGAATCAAACCTGCAACCTTTTGGGACAAACCAACCAATGGAGCCACAAGCCAAGGCAAATAGAAGGCCTGCTTCTGGAGGCCCCTCTGCTCCCATAGACATGACTGCCCCTGCACCAGCCCCCACTTCAGGCGGCACCGCGTTTTTCTGATTTAACACCAAGTTTCCTGTGGCCCCACAGGCAAACCAAGTCTGCACTCTGCTGCCCTCCTGGCCGAGCCTGAGCAGAGGGAGCGGTCCCCTCGTACATGAGCAGCGGGAAGGTCACAACATGGGACTTGAGAAGCCCTGCACCTGAAAGGAATCCAATAAACACCTTTTTGTTTTATTTTTTTAATACATTTTTATTTCTTTTTTTAAGAGAGAGAGGAAGGGAGAGGGAGAGAGAAACACCGATAATAGACATCAATGGGTTGCCTCCTGCATGCCCCCTACTGGGGATGGAGCCCTGATCTGGACTCTTAACACGCCACCTTTTGGTAAGCAGGTAAGGGCGCTCAACGGAGCCACACTGGCCAAAGCTGAATCCCTTTTTCTTTCCCTTTCTTTTTTTCCTTTTGTTAATCCTCACCCAAGAATATTTTTGCCAATAATTTTTAGAGAATGGGAAGGACACAGAGAGAGAGAAAGAGAGAAAGACAGAGAAACAAACACGGATGTGAGACAGACACATCCACTGGTTGCCTCCTGCATGTGCCACACCCACCCTGACCTGGTTGGGGGATCAAACCTGCAATCCAGGTATGTGCCCTGGAACAGGAATCGAACCTGTGACCCTTCGGTGAACAGGCAGACACTCCAGCAGCTGAGCAACACCTGCCAGGGCTGAATCCTTTTTCTTTTCTTTTTTAATATTCTGTCAACTTTTATTTGG